CAGACCAATTAACTACATATTTTGGTTCTTTTATCACAAAGGATTACACCAATAATATCGCTAAAATGCTGGGGAACATATCAGAAGCAGGAACTGAAGGAAATCAGAGTGAGTAGGAAAATGGTGTTGGGGGAATTGATGGGATTAAAAGCCAACAAATCCCAGCACCTAGTAATCTACAGCCAGAGTACTTAAACTGGCTTGAGAGATAACAAAAACAAATTGCTGGAAAAGCTCAGCAGGTCTGGCAGCATCTGGGAAGGAGAAAAACAGTTACTGTTTCGAAACGAAACGTTAACTCTGTTTTTACCTTCACAGATGCTACCAGACCTGCTGAGCTTTTCCAGCAACTTTGTTTTTAATCCTGATTTACAGCATCCGCAGTTCTTTCGGTTTTTATTTGGCCTGAGAAACCAATGTATTCTGAAAATAGGGGCTCGAGTCGAAATAGAGGAAATGGATGGTCATCTTTCAAGATGAACAATTCCTATGGATTGGAGGATGGCTAAGGTAATGCTACTAGTTAAAAAAGGTTGACAGAAAATATGGAATTATCGACCGGTTCGCCTAACACTGGAAAACTGTGACAGGATTGGACAGAGTTAGTCAGCATGGATTTACAAAAGGGAAATCATGCTGTACAAATCTGCTGGTATGTTTCAAGAATGCAACATTTTAGAGTTGATAAGGAGGCAGTGGATGTCATTTACTTGGGATTTGAGAAGACGTTCAAAAGGCCCCACAGAGGAGATGAGCATGTAAAGTGAAAGCATTTAGGATTGGGCATTCACAGAGATACAGAGCTGGCTGGCAGGAAAGAAAGAGAGTCAGAATAAGCAGTCATTTTTTCATGTGTCAGCCAGTGACCAGTGCGGTACTGCAGGGATCAGTGCTGGACCCCAGATATTCACACTATCTAATGATGATTTAGATGAGGAAACTTAAATGTCATATCTATTAGCTTGCAGAAGACATAAAGCTGGGTGGGACAGTGAATAGTAAGGAGGATGCGGATATACTTCAGTATGACTTGATGGTGAGAGGGTGGGCAAAAATGCAAGGCTGACGAAGTATAACGTGGCTAAGTTCGAGGTTATCCAGTTGGATTATAAAACCAGGAAAACACAAGTTACTTACAGTAAGCATGCAGGTGCACCAGGAGGTGAGAAAGGCAAATGGTATTTTGACCTTCATAGCGAGAGGATTTGAGTACAGGAGCAGGGATGTCTTGCTGAAATTGTACAGGATCTTAGTGAGGCCACACCTGGAGTATTGTGTGCACATTTGGAATCCTTATCTGATGGAGGATGTTTTGGCTATGGAGGCTGTACACAACCGTTCACCAGACTGATTCCTGGAATGGCAGGACCGACACATGAGGACAGAATGGATTGGTAAAGATGAACTTCACTGGAGTTTAGAAGAACGAGGAAAGATCTCACAGAAACCAGTGAAATTCTAATGGGACTAATCAGGTAAATGCAGGAAGGATGCTGTCAATGACCAAGGAGTCCAGGACCAGGGAGTCACAGATTAAGGACATGGGCTAGGCTGTTTCTGACTGAAAGGAGGAAACATTTCTTTTTGCAGAGACTGGTGACCCCCTGAAATTTTGCTGAAATTCAAGCAGTTAAGGCCAAAACATTAAAAGTTTCCAAGAAGAAGATATATCTATTTACGAGGGCTAATGGGATCAGGCTACTGAGTAAAATAATCAGCCATGATTGAAAGTTACAATGGCCAATACTGTTCCTATTTTCTATGTTTCTATTCTGTTGAAGGTGGGAAATAAAAACAAGATGATTTTAACTGACACAGATATCAGCACTATCTGATCACCACTGAATGAAAATCCTGTAACTTCTTACCAGACAGCAATCTGGGAGCAACTTCAGCACTCCGAGTGCAACCATTCAAGAAGGTCAAGGTGCAGAGTGATTTTGGAAGCTTCTGGAGTGGCTGCTCCGTCTCTCGTTTTCTATCCAGTTCTCAAATTGTTGAATGTTCTGAGAAAAGCAACATAATATGTAGGAAATATCTTTGGAAGTTTGCTGATACTGGAGAAAGGGGGGAGTGGGACCAGGGCTGGGGTAGGGAAATACATATGGCTGGGGAAGGGGAGCAGTGAGAGAAACAGTGGGCTGGGTTTTGTGGTGGAGTGATGGGCGAAGAAAACCCCAATTTCCAAACCACGCACCACCCCCAACCCTGCTCGGTTCTCTCCCTCCACTCTGATCTTTCTCTCAGCTTCTTTCACATTGGCAGTAAGCACAGCGACAAAGATGTGCATGTGGACACTTTTCCCATCCAACTCAGTCACTAGCACATTCACAAGCATCTGCCAACACCATACTATGCATACTCCTGAGTTAACACAGTAATGATTTAACCCAATAACCTTTGTCTCCAGCCCCATTCACACCAATGACAGTCATGGGATAAATTAAAATATCAAAACAAAACTGACCAAATTACTTAAGCAGCTTGTATGACGGATTGTTTCACAGGTACATTGGATTGTCAAACTTTCATGTTGTAACATTAACAAGCTTTTCTCAGAAGACCTCCGTTCTAAAGAAATTTGGCCCTTCCTTCTGTTTGATCATGTCCTCTCCCAGACTTGCTGGCGCCAGTTCCCAGATAGTGACCTCATTAGTGGCCAAAAGAGTCTACAGAGTTTTTGATCAAGAACCAAACTGCAATTAACTTCCAGGCCTGGCCTCAGAAACAAATAGTTTTTATATTTTTTTTAACACAACTGCCACGCACTGTCCAGAGGTCACCATTCAGCCCTCCGATTCAAACCCAAAATGATTTTTTTTAAAACTCAGCTCGGGTTCTAACACAGTACACAGCAAAAAGACCTTTATCCAGTGACACAAATTGAGTGAGTGGGACACTATGCGTTGGAGTTTTGTTTCAATGAGATCATGTGCCATTGTTTTAATCAGATTCTAAAGTGCTTTGACATGGTAAATGCTGAGAGAAACCATAATCTCAGAATGAAGTGTGCCAATTTAAAGCTGAAATGAGGAGAATTTTCCTCTCAGAGGGTTGAGAGTCTTTGGAACTTCTGTCCACAAAGAGCTGACAGGGCAAAGTCTTGGTGTATTTTTCAGGCTGAGATAGGTAGATTCTTGATCAGTAGGGAAATTAAGGGTTACAGGAAAACGCTGGAAAAGTGGACATCAGGAATGTCAGATCAGCCGCAATCCTATTGAATGGCAGAACAGGTTCAAGGGACCAAATGGCCTACTCCTGTTCCTGTTACATATGGTCTTCCACTAGACTGCCGAAAAAGTCGTAACCAATTGCACAGACTGAGTGAGTGTTCCAGTGAACTGACGGTGGAAAGAGCTTTAACATACACTGAAATAAAATCTCACTACAGACAGGTGACAGAAACTACATGGATGTTCTGTCTATTGGATTAAAATTTACCTAAATCACCCAGCCAGGAGAGACAACAGATACCCACACTGTGGAGATACTGTGGAAATATCAGGACAATGACAGTGATACAGTTCCCCACCTGAGCTGACCACCCAATGGTGCAGTTACACCGGGGTCAGACCATTCCCGTGCTCCGTGTGCAGGAAAGATTCAGTCAGACACCCAGCTACTGAGACACCTGTAAGTTTGCAAGGGGTTACAGAGTTGGATTCTGGTGGGCTTGCTGCTTTTTAATCACATCCAGCTTCATCTGACCTTCACACTACACTTTTGCCGCAGTCAAACCTCCCGCCGGGACTAATAAAACAAAACTGCAGAGCCCCAGACGGCGACATTGGAGCGGAGTGGGGACGGACGGGACAAGAGTGGGGGAGGGGAAGAGTGAGAGCAGGAAGCGGGGGCGGAGCAAACCAGGACCACGCCCTGTCGCTGTTACGTCACCACTAATCGCGCTTGCGTATTTCCCACTAAATCCAGATGCGGAGGCGCCGGCGTTAGACCGTGGCCTGTTTCAGGCAAGAAGCCTGAGGCTCTCTGCAACCTAAATCGCGGCACCAGAAAAGCCTTGTTTGGGGCTTGAGACCTGAACTGGGCAATCATGCAATCCTCTTGCTGGCAATATAGCAGCAACGCTACCCCCCCTCTATAACCTTCACTCACCGTTGGTGGATGTTATGAAAGAACATTTCATTCCTTCCGTCACAACAAAAACAAAGTTGCTGGAAAAGCTCAGCAGAATTTCTGAGGAAGGGTCACCGAACCCGAAACGTTAACTCTGTTTTCTCCTCCACAGATGCTGCCAGACCTGCTGAGCTTTTCCAGCAACTTGGTTTTTGTTCCTGATTTACAGCATCCGCAGTTCTTTTGGCTTTCATTCCTTCCGTCGCTGCCGGCACGCAGTTATTTCTGAAGAAGGGTCTAGGCCCGAAACGTCAGTTTTCCTGCTGTTCTGATGCTGCTTGACCTGCCGTGTTCATCCAGCCCTACACCTTGTTATCTCAAATTCTGCAGTTCTTACTGTCTCTGATACAATCACAATTAGCTGTGCGCATGCTCTGTAGCTACACACCCGTTTGATGACGTCACACGACCATTAGCAACGAAGGGGCAGGACTGGAGAATGGCACCGGAACTGTTTGTCCTCCAACCGATTGAGGACGAGGGGCGGGCTGCAAAAACATTCCCGAGCGGAAGGCGGGGCGGCGTTATCCTTCCAACCAATCGGGGAAACACAGGGACGGGACTGGAATTCGAACCTCCTTCGGAACGTGTGACGGGCGGGGTTAGTGCTCCAACCAATCAGTACACGGGAAGGCGGGTCTAACAACGTGACCAGAGCATGCGCCGGAGGCGTGATGGAGCCAGAATGTTGTTCTCTGGACTGAAGGGAGGGTTGTTGTCTGTCTGTTGATTTTTTCTGAAGAAGGGTCTAGGCCCGAAACGTCAGCCTTCCTGCTCCTCTGATGCTGCTTGGCCTGCTGTGTTCATCCAGCTCTACACCTTTGTTATCACTGTTGTCTGTCCGTTCTTTTTACAGCGCATTCAATGGGAAGGATTCCCAGATCATTAATTCCAACCAGATATCACAGCAAGGTCTAACGGAGTCACTCGTTTCAGCAGCATCTCAGTGTCATCGGTCTTTCACCGTGCAAGGTAAAATGTTTGTCTGTGGGAAATGATTTCTGAGATCAGTTTCATTGGAAAAGTTCCGAGAAATTCGAAATCGTGTGCAGTGCACCCCCGGAGGATGTGTCTGGGCACCACAATTTAGGAAGGAGAGTCTGGAACTTCCTCGGGGTCTGCGCAGGTTTACTCCAATGATTCAGAGACAGGTGTTTTTATTATGAGCAACGGTTGCAGGAGTCAGTTTTAGATTCATTATAACACAGAAAGGAATAATTTAGCCTATTTCATCAATCTGCCAGTCCTGAGCCCATTGACCCAATTGATCAAAATCTCTTTGTAATCAAGAAAGCTAATTAGCTGTATCCTTTATTATTACAAGAATTGAACATAAATGTAAGGATATCTGCTTAATTTGTAAAGAGAATAGGTGAGACCACGTCTTGAATAAAGTGGTGTAGAGCTGGAGGAAGACAGCAGGCCAGGTAGCATCAGAGGAGCAGGAAAGTTGATGTTTCGAGTCTGAAGAAGGGTCCCAACCCAAAACATCAACTTTTCTTCTCCTCTGCTGCCTGGCATGCTGTGTTCCTCCAGCTCCATGTTTTGTTATCTCTGACTCCAACATCTGCAGTACTTGCTATCTCTCTTGAATAAAGTCTGCAGGTTTTGGCCATCTTCTGTAAATTTATTGGAGGTGTTTCAGAGGAAGATTTGAGATTAATACCTGGAATCAATGAGTTGTCTAAGGAGGATAGGCTGGGCAGGCAAACAGGAGAAGGAGGTGGGTTAGAACTGCTGATTAAGACAGGCAAGTAATGTGATGTAAGCAAGGATATAGGCTGTGGTGAAGTAGAACATATATGGAACAAAAAAACAGAAATTGCTGGATAAGCTCAGCCGGTCTGACAGCATCTGTGGAGAGAAATCAGAGTTAAAGTTTCAGATCGAGAAACCCTTCCTCAGAACGGAAATGTGAGCTCCTATTTCTCTCCACAGATGCTGCCAGCAGACCTGCTGAGCTTATCTAGCAATTTCTGTTTTTGTTTCTGATTTACAGCATCTGCTGTTTTTTCCTTTGGTTTTGTAGAGTGTTAGTTGAGCTTAGAAACACTAATCATTTGTAATTGATAGTAAGATTGTACATAAGACTCAAAAATAGAGGAGCAATATTGGGAAATGTATTAGAATGGAATGTAGAGATGCAAGTAATAAAGTTAGGGCCGTAAATATGGGTGACTTTAATCTATATATAAATTTGAGCAAATCAAATTAGTAGCAATAGGATACAGGAGGCATTCTTAGCACGTAGATGGAACAGTTTTATGAATCAATACAGCGAGGAAGCAACTGGGTATTGAGTAATGACAAAGGAATTTCATTATGGTGGCTTAGCGGTTAGCACTGTTGCTTCACAGCGCCAGGAACCCAGGTTCAATTCCACCCTTCGACGACTGTCTGTGTGGAGTTTGCACATTCTCCACGTGTCTGCATGGGTTTCCTCCGGGCATTCTGGTTTCCTCCCACAATCCAAAGGCTAAGTAGATTGGCCATGCTAAATTGCCCATATTGTTCAGGGAGGTGTAGATGAGGGAGATGGGTCTGGGTGGGATGTTCTGAGAGTCGGTTTGGACTTGTTGGGCGAAAGGGCCTGCTTCCACACTGTATGGAATTTTATGGTCTAAGAATAATTGATAATAAAGTTGAGCATGGGCACTTCATCCACCTCATTCCAGTGGGGAGTGATGTCATTCTTTCTGAGACTAGAGTCCTGTCATTACATAAAGAAAATTAGAATGATGTGAGGTGTGAGCTAGCTGTGATAAATGATGGATCAGTATTTAAATGGGTTTTGGGAGATTGTCCATGCACTCTTTAAATGTTTGCCATGATCTATGTACAGAAGTTATTCATCCCAGTCTGGCATAAGAACAATACAGGAAACATGGTGAAACCATGGCAAAAAAGGGAAATGATGGCTAGTATTAAATTTGTCAAATAAATCACCACATTGGTAACAGTTTAGAATTTAACAAAGGGAATGATTAAATGGCAGAAAATAGAGAATGAGAGTATGCTTGCAGAGACCATACAAATCAATGGTTTTCTTTTGTTCGTTCACAGAATGCAGACATTGCTGTCTAAGCCAGAATATATTGCCCATCTATGATTGCTAAGAAGGTTGTCAAGCGTCAACTGCATTGCTGTTGGGTTGGAGTCACATGTAAGCCAGACCGGGTAAGGATGATAGTTTCTTTCCTGCAAAGGACATTAGTGAACCAGCTGGGATTTTCCTGACAATCAATGCTTTCATGATCATCATTAAACTCTTAATTCAAGATTGATAGTAAAACGTTAATAAAGATGAACACAGGTTCTCCTACAATTGGAAACAGAGGAATTAAAAAATGGAGCACAAAGTGATGGTAGACCAACAAAATACATCTTCAACAACAAAAACAAAAACAAAGTTGCTGGAAAAGCTCAGCAAGTCAGGCAGCATCTGTGAAGGAAAAAGCACAGTTAACGTTTCGGGTCAAGTGACGCTTTCTCAGAACTGGGAAAACGTCAGTTTATATGGAGAAAATAGGGAGGTGGGTGGGGTAGGAAGTAAAGGATAGGATAGAACCCAAAGAGAGAGAAAGATAGTTAGACAGATGAAGGAGTTGCTAACGATCAGGCTGATAGGGTGAATACTTGTTATGGGGACTGTTAGTGCAGTTCTTTTGGTTTTTATTTAAAATACATCTTCATATCTTCAAAAAGGAGAACACAAATAACATCCCCAAAATAAGTGGAAATCACAGTGTCTAATGGGAAGGTAGAATTGAAAGAAATTAGTATTGGTAGGAAAATGATATTGGGTAAAATAATGGGATTAATGCAGATGAATCCCCAGAAATTGATAACCTTCATCCCAGAGGACCTCAGGAAGTAGCCCAAGAAATAGCAGATGCACTAGTGATTATCTTCCAAAATTGTACAGACTCTGAAAGAGTTCCTGTAGATTTGAGCATAGCTAACATAACCCCAATATTTAAGAAGGAAGCAGAGAGAAAACAGGGAATTTGCATGATGCTGGTTATGGGAAAAATGCTAAAGTCCACTCTCAAAGGTGTATTAATAGAGTACTTGGAGGATAGTAACAAGATCAGACAGTCAGCAGAGTGTTTTTTTCTGTGCTGTAGATCTTTGAGACTCTTTGTTGGGCATGACTTCCCTCTAAGCCACTCGCTGTCCTGACTTGGAAATATATCACTGTTCCTTCACTGTTGTTAGATCAAAATCCTGAAATCCCTCGCTAACAACATTGTGGGTGACCTACAGCCCATGGACTGCAGTGGTTCAAGACGGCAGGTCACCATCTTCATAAAAGTCACTAGAGGCAGCCAGTGATGCCGGCATTCCATAATCAAATTTTGAAAAAAGACATTTTCGAATTGAAGCCGACGTAGATCAGCTATGACCTTTTTGAGGCTGGAGGAGCCAAATGGACTACTTCAGCTCCAATTTCGAATGTTCTCTGCCCTTTTACCAAAATGCATCATCTCACCAGGAATGTTGTATTTCCTACAATTTAGAAGATTGAGGCATGATTTGATTAAAATTTAAGATGTTAATGAAGTTGGTGAGGGGGATGGAGAGGAGCCATTTCCACTGGGTGGGTGAAGTGGGAACTCAAACAACTTCCTACCCCGCAGGAATTAGACAAGACTTGAGTTTCTTTGCTCGCTGGTTTATTCAAATATATGTCTGAGGAACAAGAGTAGGCGAATCGGCCCTTTGAGCCTGCTCTGCCACTCAATAGGATTGTGGCTGAACTGGGTTCAACCTCACCTCTATGTGCCTGCGTATCCCCAACAATCATTCATCATCTTGGTCATGAAGAGTCTATCTGCCTCCGCCTTAAAAATATTTAAAGATTCTGCATTTACTGACTTTTGAGGAAGTGAATTCCAAATATTATTAACCCTCTGAGTGAGAAGAAATATTTCCTTGTTACTCTTTTCAATGGGCTCTCCCTTATTTTTAAACTATGACCCCTATTTCTAGATTCTCCCACAAGAGGAAACATTTCTTTCAGCATCCGGCTGGTCAGGTTCCCTCAGGATCTTTTATGGTTTAGTTTAGTCTCCTCTTTCTCTTCTAAACTCCAGAGGATACAGGCCTGTCTAGCCTTTCCTTATAAGGCAATCCTCTCACTCCAGGCATTAGTCCTTAACCTTCCCTGAACTGCTTCCAATGTATTGACACATGTCCATAAGTATGCCAACCAATATTGTACAGTCCTCCAGATGCAGTCTCAACAGTATGCTCGGGATATTGCTCATACCTGAAGGTGGTACATGAATTCCCACTTGCTTACAGTAATGCTTTTCAGCAAGCCTAGGTCATTTCCATATCCAGTTACAGACTGGCACAGATTATGGTCAGCCAGTTGTACACTTTCTCTTGTTACATAGACATCATTGTTGTGGCATCACTCGAACGTCCCACTCTGCTGGCTCTGCAGAAATAACCACCGACTGCAGCCTGTTCCCACAGCCTGGTTTGTGTTTTATTTCTCAACTTCTGCATTGTCAATTAATGATCCAGGGAGGTTTTCATGACAATCGAGCAGATTTCATTTTACTTCTTCCTGTTTTCTATTTATTTTACAGGCAATTAGACAGTAAGTTCAAATCAAATGTGAGATCAAGAGCTGCCAGCAGTGCTCGATTCTCAGGACCTGAGTATCACCAGCCTTGGAACATGGAAGGAAAAAGCATCGTTCACAGTGAAGAGAAACTGTACAGGTGGTCTGTGTGTGGACAAGACTTCAGTCAATCGTCTGGACTGTCGATATGTAAATGCAATCACAATAAGAAAACAACAATTGTGCTAAGCAGCACTTGTTTTGCAATGTCATGCTTATGAATCTCAGTTTCAGTTAAGCAAGATTTGCTCAACTCCGGATCTCTTTACATTCTTGGTGCAAACATGGACCTAACAGCTAAATTCTAGAGCTGAGAGTGACTATCTTCTACATTAAGGCTCTATTTGACAGACTAGTGTATCAATGAATAATAAAGCTAGAGTCAATGGGCATCAGAAAATTTTATTCATTCTGCAATATGGGGTTTTTACAAATAGAGTCTTCAGACCTGAGTAGATTATAAGAATATGACTTTATTCAAGCTCGTACGACATATCTGTGGAAGAGGTCTGTAAGTCTTGCTTGGAGACACTCAGCCATTTTCAGCCGAAAACAGCATATTAATACATTTTTGTGTCACTACAGTTACATTCAGTATTGATATAAAATAAGAGGTAACACAGTGTGGAGCTGGATGAACATAGCAAGCCAGGCAGCATCAGAGGAGTAGGAAAATTGACGTTTCGGGTTCGGACCCTTCAGAACATTTCTGAAGAAGGGTCCCGACCTGAAACGTCAACTTTCCTGCTCCTCTGATGCTGCGTGGCCTGCTGTGCTCCTCCAGCTCCACACTGTGTAATCTCTGACTCCAGCAGCGGCAGTTCTTACTAACTCTTGATATAAAATAAACACTTTTTACAGTAAATGATTGACATTAACAAGATAGTGTTCTCTAATTTCAAAAGGAATTACATTTCTGTATAATCTTCAGAGCTTACCTGTCCCCACCACTTGCTCTCAGTACATGCCTTCCCCTTTGGAGTAACACTTCTGTGACTATCTTAAATTATACAGATGATCTCTGAAGCCTAAGTGACTGCTGACTGTTCACTGTTATGGATATACCGTTAAACTACCTGAGCTCCAATAATAATGTCCTTTATTTGGATGTATTTCACTCAGCCCTACTCTGTATTACTCATCCAAGCTTATTTACTCCTGTGTGGCATATACTACAGTGTTTCTATCTATTACTTACACATGAAAATGTTTGACCTCATCCTTCTGCTCTTTTTTTTGCTTATTTGGATTGCTTGGCTCTTTTCTCCAAACATTCGCTCTGCCTTCATTCAGACTCTGGCTGTAACAGGTGACTAGTACTCCCTATTCAAACCTAGTGCATTGTTGAGAGTTGTGGACTGTCAAACTGTGCATGGTGTTGCTGCCCGGAACAACCTGAATCTCGATGAATACAATGTGGGCATTGGAACAGGATCTACCCACAGGAACAGCTGATCCATTTTGTTTGCATAGCTGTACTAGCCAGACTCATGAACTGCAGAGGTAGTAGGCTTTGCTGCAGTGCTATTGGTACTGAAGTGGAGCGATACATCGTGACATTGCCTCAATGTTCGTGCCACTATGCCCACCAAGTGTTCTCCTTTCCTGTCTCCCTCTCTCCCTCTGCACAGTTTTAAGCCTGTCTGGCGCTAAGCAGTTCCTATTGTTGTAGGAGCCAAATCAAAGTTGCTGGAAAAGCTCAGCAGGTCTGGCAGCATCTTTGGAGGAAAAAACAGAGTTAACGTTTCGGGTCCGGTGACCCTTTCTCAAAATCCAGTTCTGAGGAAGGGTCACTGGACCTGAAACGTTAACACTTTTTTTTTTCTTCACAGATGCTGCCAGACCTGCTGAGCTTTTCCAGCAACTTTGTTTTTGTTCCTGATTTACAGCATCCGCAGTTCTTTCGGTTCCTTTTGTTGTAGTCCAGGCTGAGTGATGGCTCTTGCGCTGCCCTTTCTACAGCTCACCTGTTGCTATTGTGTTTGCCTCATTCATTCCTTTAGAGCTGATATGAACATTGATTTAGACCAGGCCAGCCGTCAACTACATCGATATGATTTAAAGAAAGAACCACAAAGGTGAAACCGCACTTTTCACCGAGCCATGTATAAATATGCTTTTTGAGAACAATTAGAGCTTACAGCTGGAGTAAATACAGAGGATATTTGCCTGTCAGCCACTGGGTATCTAAGCCCTTAATACAGAATAGAACTTGGAAATGAAAAACTCAGAATTGCCAGATTTTGTCTCCTTTTCAAAAGCTGTAGTTTTGAACAGTCTGGTACCGCATAAAGATGACGGTAGTCGGTCTTGCTTGAAGGTAATGACCCTTTTTGGTAAGTGAATCAATCTTAACTGTCTGGATGGCTATCAGCTTTCGTAAGAGAGGGAAACATTCTCAGAATCAAACAGCCTTACAGAGGTTGATGGGCTGCTGCCTGTAATGTTTCAACATTTTTTGCTGCTACTTTCGGAGATGGGGCGTCCGAGTAAACTGCCGCTCAGTATGAAGACTGCCACAGGCAGCCTTTTCCTGTTGATTCTTTTCTGAAACCTAATTCTTTTCACTTTTCTTCCTAAATTCCAAATCTGATTTTGCAGCTGAGGCTATGAAGCACTTTGCAACTTTTGAGGTTGTGAAGGTGCTATGTAAAGACAAGATCCTTTTTTGTTTTTTCACCCCTTCACCAGGGACAAAATGCATGTTTAATGGTTTGGCTGTTTCCAGAGCTAGCAGAATGCCTTTGATTGAAAGGATATCATCACTTGCTGTATGGTGTTTGAATCGAAATTAAGGTGGCACAATGGCTCATGGTTAGCACTGCTACCTCACAGTGCTAGGAACCCGCGTTCAATTCCACTCTCGGGTGAATGTCTGCGTGGAGTTTCCTCCGGGTGCTCCCACAGTCCCAAGAAGTACAGGCGAGGTGGATTGGCCATGCTAAGCTGCCTGTTGTGTTCAGAGATGTGCAGATTAGGTGGGCTATAGGGTGATGGGTCTGGCTGGGGTGTTCTGGGGGTCAGTGTGGACTTTTTGGGCTGTAGGGCCTGTTTCCATGCTATAGGGATTCTATGATTCTACTTTCATATTCCTCTTTTACACTCTGCTAACCTCCTTACCCTTCTTCACCCTGAATGGATAATGCCGAAGTGGGAATGTTTGCTGATGATTACACAATGTTGATACTGAAGCAGTGCAAACCTAAATGCAGTAGCCTTAGACAACATTGAAGCTTAGCCTGCTAAGTGACAAAGAACATTTGCACCACACAAGTAGCAGACAATGACCAAATCTGTCAAATGAGAATCTAACCATATCCCGTTGACTTTATTTTCATTTATCTTTGCTGAATTTCCCATTCGAAAATCCTGGGGGCAAATGTTAAGGAGAAACTGAACTGGACCTGCCATATAAATATTATTGCTACAAGTGGGTAGAAATTTTGTGGTGATGAAATCAACTTTTGGTTCCCAGAACCCTGTGCATCATCTGCAAGGCACAAGGCAGGAGTGTGATGGGATACTGTCCATTTGCTCGGATGGGTGCAGCTCCAACAACACTCAAGAAATTGATGCAATGCAGGAAAGGCTGTCCACTTAAATGGCACCCCATTCAGGACTTTCAATATCAACTCTCTTCAGCACCAAGGCACAGTGGCACCAGAATACACTATTTACAAGATGCATTAGATTAACTCACGCAGCCCACAGACTGTACCACCTGGATGGACAAGAGCAGAAGATGCGTTGAAACAACTCCATCTTCAAGTTCCTCTCTAAGGAACATTCCCACCTGATTTGGAGCAGTATCAGTGATGATCTCACTGAGTGGTGGAGAAGACTTGATGGGCCAAATGATCTATTTCTGCTCTCCATCTTCTGCCTTATTTTATTTCCAGTTGATTAGTGCAATGACCAGATTTGTGCTCAGTCCTCTAGATGGTTCCTAAACTGGCAGCCCTCAAACCCTCTCGACTCCCTGATCTTCCTGTCCAACCACCTTCAGGGATCTGTGAGTGTCTTTTTTTACTCTAAACCATTCATATCCTTACTGTTTTTGTGCACTCCCATAGTTTACCCTTCCTGATTTCATTATCATTCACTTCTCTGGATTGAATTCCTGTCACCATTTTCTTCCCAATAGTTTAATATCTCCGTGCAGCCCCCAGCTTTCTTCCTCATGGTTATCTATGTGACCAATTGTCGCATCATCTACAAACTTCTAAATCATGGTTGCTACAACTAAGTCTAAATCATTGATCAACGTCATATAACAATGGAACTCATAGAAGTCATGGTTATTAAGTTTACGAACGACACCGAAATTGGTGGCACAGTAGACAGGAAAGAAGGCTCTCTGAGCGCTCATTGACATCCCCATTTCCGGTTGTATCTTCGCAGTTGGGCCACTGAGTTTCTCTGGTTCCAGGCCTGGGGACTGGGATTATATGATCGTCTGCATCGGTGGTTCCTTCCTTGTGTGAGGGAACTGGCGAAGTAACCGATGCTAAACTACATTGCTACTGAAAAATACATTTCAACTATATCCTGCACTTTCTCCTGAGTCTTTGGTGTTTTGTAGAAATGTATCAATCTCAGTCTTCAACATACTCAATGATGGAATCTGGGGGCATCGAAGTTAAAGACTGCAGCCCACTCAGAGTTCTCACATCTCAGTCCACTGTTCGCCAAGTATTCCTATTGTGTGCCCAGTGTTGTTCCTAACACGTCATCGGCTATTGTACTTTTCATGCTTTTCAAGCGTATCTTCCTGAATGGCGCCGTGATCGTATAGTGGTTAGTACTCTGCGTTGTGGCCGCAGCAACCTCGGTTCGAATCCGAGTTACGGCAATGGGTATTCTCCCCGTTTTGCTCCTTGTGAATCATCTTTCGATAAGGAATTAATTGATTTGCATGAAAATAGTCTCCGAGGTGATGAATTTATTCTCTCAAACACTCGCTCTCTCCCATGTCTGCGTTTGATGTATCAGAAAACCAATCCATCTCTTCTCGCAGATTTTTCTCCCTACCACAATCACTAACCCTCCTTTACCTCCCTCCTCCCACTTCGCTGAGGCACAGCATAATCTGTCACTCGCTTCCACATTGATACCATTCAGTCTGTACTGCTGCGGTCACTGTTGCTGGCTGAACCCGCCACAATCTTACCATGGG